AGGTATTTAAAAGCTATGTAGGTATGGCGCTTAGGGACATGGTTTAGTGGTAGACTTGGCAGTGTTAGGTTTCCAGATGAACTTGATGATCTTAAAAGGTCTTTTCCAACCTAAACAATTCTATGATTCTATAATATTTACTGGCACTTACTGACATAATTATTGAGACTACTAAGGTTAAATTAACACTACTTTGCCCTTGCTAGAACTGATGGCTTCATTATATGGGTTAGATATGGATACGTTCCATATCCTTTACAGACAGAGTCTGATTAGTTGCAATATAGTAGCCAGGTTGTCTTTGCAACTAACTTCAGAGCTTGATGAAGTAGTAAGTTGATCAATCTCTTCCTTTGGAAGGGTGTGCCGTGAGTCGTTAAAATATAGAGAACTTGTAAAGAGACTTTCCACATAGGAGAGGCTGCATTGGAAAAATTCAAATGAATGCTTGCCAGTTAAAGCTAAGCAGAATCAGAGGCATAATTAAAACTTCAGCATATTGTGGAGAAGGAATATGCGGTCATTGGGCTGATGAACTAAGTTTGGCTGACAATAAGTCATTATAGTAATGCATTATTTTGAAATCTGTATACGACCATGCCATACCATACCAATGTAAAGTAGTCCTACCTTAAGATCATTATATAATTTCCAGGGCTGAAAAATTATTTTCAAAATACTTGATCAAGAGCAGAGAGAGATACATAACGATTTTCATTGATTTTCGATGTTTTCATCTACAGAAATAGATGCCTTTCTGAGCATGAGTGAATGAATGCTGTTGCCCTTTCTTATCTCTTCTAATTAAACACTTCCCACTTCAATTCTGCTCTGCCAGCTCAGATGAAAGTTTGGAAATCAACAAAGAGAAGCAAACACCAAGAAAGTAAAGAAAAATGGAAAGAGGGGGGAGGAGATAAACAGTGACAGAAAATGTAGGAATCAAAGGCACAAAACAAAGATGTACCTCGATTTATATCAGGGTGACATAAGACCTATCAATAAATACCACTAAAGTCAATGGTGTTTTCTAGAACGTATCAATATGGACAGAGTGGAAAGGTACCTTCTTCTGCCCTTTCTTAGCATACTATTTCATTAAGATCTGTATCTGTTCAAAGCACTTTTATTATTTCATAACCTACATTACAGTATTTTCATGCCTTAGCCAAGGTTTATAAAGCTTGGTACTAACCAGAAATTAGATACATCAAACATACAGGTATCATAAATTCCCTGAGCTGCATAATCATAGAATCATAGAATGCTTTGAGTTGGAAGGGACCTTGAGAGATCATCGAGCCCAACCCCCCTGCAGTAAGCAGGGATTGAACCTGTGAACTTGGCATTATTAGCACCGTGTTCTGATAAAAGCAGAGAGAATGTGTTCTTAAAATTTTCCCCATAGCTCTGCTACTGACCGGTGTCAGGGAAAAGATACTGTTCTGATTCCCTGTGGCCATCCTCATGTATAATAAAGTGTTGCTTGTACTTCAAAAATGAAGAGAAATATCACTGAGTTTTAAATGTTACAAGCAAATCTTCCCTAAAGCATTCATTATGTGTATTTATTTAATTGTGCATGAAATACAAATCCTCACATGTTGTGCTTTCACTGAGGATGAATTATTGAAGAACAGAAATTATGCATAGTACAAATCCTCAAGTAGAGCTTGGACTTAAATGCTCCATCAGTTTTAATTGTGGCTTGTTTCAGGGATGGAATCTAATCAAATTGGGTTGCAGGCTGGATCAAGGAGCACAAAAACTTAAGTGCTGGCTCATCTTGAAAAGGGTAAATCCTAGACTAGATATCATCCAAAGGTCATGCAGATAGTACAACTTTCAGATACATAGCAACAATTAATTCATCTAATTCATTACAGTTTTGACCTAAATTAATGTTAATTAACTCTTCTTAATCCAAATAAACTAAAATAGAAACCTGTTGACCAGCCTGTCCTGCTTTTGTTTTTTCCATTTTTATAGCTCTGAGACACTGCTTCTGATTCATTCACATTAAAACATGAAGTAATAACAAGATTTATGGTTGGTTTGTTCCTAATGCTTAAAAATCAATTTGTCTCTATGCAATTTTAAATGTGACTAGCAGTATAGCATCTAGTTAATTCACCTATGCAAAATGACATAGTAAATTTGAGCATCTGCCTGTGTGTATTTAAGCAACATAGGTAATTTCCTGAACTAAAACCTCTTCATGGTTCTCTATCACTGTGTCTATTAATCAAGGAAATTTAATTTCGTTACTATGTTGTTTTAATCCTTATGGAAGAACTTTGTACTTTATAATTCATACATACTTGCAAGTGTGATATGTCAGAGCAAAGTCCACCAGAGTAAGCACACGGTGTGAAATAATGAAGATCCAATTTTGCTGCATTTGAGATAGTGTGTTGGAGCTGATTTATTCACCTGGACTTAAGTACCAGGCAAAGTACAACTGTAGAGAATTAGCTCATTCATTTGTGTGCATTTTTCTTTGCCAAGCTTCACTTCAAAAAGGTAAGGTGCCTGCCTAGTGCTCTTTTCCTTGGTTGCATTCTTAATTTATAATACCAAGTTCTATTCTGGAATTAAATGGGTCTGTAAATCATTTTGATGTGTAAATACGAGGGAAGAAAAAAGACTGACTCACTCAAAAATGCTAAAAGAAAAACAAAACAGCTAAAAAAACCCCTCCAGATCTGAGTACAGATTTCCTGAAGTTTAGTGATGCTTGTGGGTTAGGTTTTGATTTTAAGTAATTTATAATATACTAATTAATAATAGTAACAATGATAGAAGCTTTCAGGGAAAAGGATACATGACAGTGGGAAAGGCAGGCACAGCAGAACTTTAAATGCTTTAAGGGAAAACCTGTGCCAAATTTCATGGAATGTAATTTTCCAGTTTATTACAATCCCAGTGTCAAATGACCAGCTTTGCATAAAATAGCAAATTGTCTGTTAATAATAAATCAGAATTATTACTGAATAGTTTTAGGTAGAGTAGAAAATTCTGTTTTGCTAGTTTTCTGTATGGTAGGTATAAAAATTCACTCGCAAACCTGAACTTTATTACAATGATTTATCTTGGACATTTTTTAAAAAATGTGCTGAATATTTTTGCACTCCTGAAAACTGATTGCTGAATCTGCTGCTAAGTCATTAGATCTATAAGGGATGTGGCTCTGTTGCAACATAAACTACTGTTGTGGTTTAACCCCACCCGGCAACTAAGCACCACACAGCCACTCGCTCACTCCCCACAGTGGGATGGGGGAGAGAATCAGAAGAGTAAAAGTGAGAAAACTCATGGGTTTTGATAAAGACAGTTTAATAGGGAAAGCAGAAGCCCCACACGCAAGCAAAGCAAAACAAGGAATTCTTTTACTACTTCCCATCGGCAGGCAGGTGCTCAGCCATCTCCAGGAAAGCAGGGCTCCGTCATGCGTTAACAGTTACTTGGGCAGACAAATGCCATCTCTCCAAATGTCCCCCACTTCCTTCTTCTTCCCTCAGCTTTATATTTTATGTTTGGACTGGATGATCTTAAAGGTATTTTCCAACCTAAATGATTCTATGATTCTATATGCTGAGCATGACATCATATGGTGTGGAATATCCCTTTGGTCAGTTGGGGTCAGCTGTCCCAGCTGTGTCCCCTCCCAACTTCTTGTGCACCCCCAGCCTGCTCGCTGGTGGGGTGGGGTGAGAAGCAGAAAAGGCCTTGACTCTGTAAGCACTGCTCAGCAGTAACTAAAACATCCCTGTGTTATCAACAGTTTTCAGCACAAATCCAAAACATAGCCCCCTACTAGCTACTTTGAAGAAAATTAGCTCTATCCCTGCCAAAACCAGTACAAGCACTGTGGAGAAGGGTACTGGCCTCTGTAGACTCTGTGCTGATGCTGGGAGGAAACAAGCTCTGACTGAAGAGCTGCTTGCTAGACCGATTTTCTGCCTTTGTCAAAGCCACTGTGGGGAGCTCAGTCCTTTAAAAAAACAAACAAACAAACCCCCCCCCCCAAACCCAAAACCCCAATTAAAATAGATTGGCTAGAGTCTAAGTTAATGTGTCCTTTGAGAGTATGGGAAACATTTGTTATCCTGAATCAGTCTAAGCTGTTGTTGATATAGAAATTCCTCTTCAGTCAAGCTGGGATTTGCCTAAGTGAGGACCCCAGGATTTATTCTGGTAATAGCCTAAGCCTTCTTGCTATGTTGGATGGAGGGTTACTAGATGTGTAACCCCAAAAGGAGGACTAAATGAGGCTCAAAACTGGTTTGATTCAACATATTGAACCCTTGTGGGTTTTGAAGAGTCTGAAGAAAAGTTCTTTTTGTTTTGTTTATTGAGTGCTTTTTTTTTTAATCCAATTTAAACCTGTGACCTATTATTTAAAGCTGTAGATGGAAATTCATAAAAAGTGTAGTCCAGGTGCGCTGAAGTGAGTTCTCCAGTGGATGGAAATATTTCCAGCACTCAGAAAGCCATGTCTTTGAGTCCTGTTTGAACTACAGACAGTCAGCACTGCCAGTGTTACTGTTTCTGCCAGTTTGACCATTGGTGCTTCTGTTTCACTACAGTTTGGACTTGGGGAATAAGCAAAATTCAATTCTGATAAATATAAGGTGTGCTTTTTCTTCTGTCATTACAATACTTTCTATGGCCTTTTGTCACACACAAAATTACATTATGTTTCATTGCCCATCCTGGCACAAGGTGACAGAGGTGAGAGACATTCTAAGTGTCACAGCACAGTGCTCTGTGTCAGAGGAATGACCAGTCAGAAATAGGGTGTGAGACATCAGGAAAAGGAGAGGTCCTTGAAAGATGGGAGAAGCCAGTTTTGGCAGAGGCTCACTATATTCAAGTTAGGTATTTCAATACCTTTCTCCTTCAGGACTTTCATACTAAAAGTCATAAATCTTTCAATTTTCAATTCCAGTCTGTGTTACAGTTCTGTATTGCTGCAGGAGGACTGACTCGGAAGGAAGATGCTGTTGACAAGCTCAGCGGGATTTATTCTGTTCTTGCTCTCTCATTGCACTGTGACAGAGAGCACCAAAGAGGCAGTGGTCTTGGCTAATGCCCACCTTCTCCCCCAAAGAGGCTACGAGAGACTGGGTAACACCAATGAAAAAGGTACTCATGAAGAGAGTGAGTGATTTGGATGCATGCTGTGTTTTACTTTATTGCTTTGCTGTAACATTTTCAGCCAATGGATTTGAAAGTTAGCCCTGCAAAAATACTTTGCAATACAAACATGTCCTGCCCTGAAGTCCAGAATCTTGCTTGCTGCAATCTAATTCAAGAGAAATTAACAGATTTTTTTGTAAAACAAAACAAAACAAAAAAACCCAACCAAACCCACACACACTGTGGCATTTGAAGACTTATTTTTAGGACAATCATATCCAGATTACATCTCACACCTCAGTACATAAATCCCATTGGTACCTATAACTGAGGTATTCCTCTGCCTATCTAGCTTGCAAGGTCCAGCTTGGTAGGTTTTCTAATACATTTACCAGGGTAGGTCCCACACAAAATGTACACAAAAAGAGTAGTGGGAGTGATTCATTTTCCTTCTCTGACTGATGTTACTTGAGGGTTTATAAAATTCACTTTCCAAGTAAATCCTGTAAAAATCAGCCTAAATGAGTTTATCATTATCTGTATATAGAAGTTGTTCTATTTTGCATTAATAATATTCACTGAGAAGGGCAAATACAAGTGTCACTGTACATATTGCTGGCTTGGACATTGCTATATAAATCACTTAATCATCCTATAAAATCATGGGACCAGGTTTGGAGTCAGGCTATGTCTACCAGGCAAATGTTCTAACAACTGGATTACGGAGTCATGTACACAGTTCTGCTCTTTCAGGGTATTTAATAATGTCATACAGATAGTATTGAGATTTAAAGCATTCTATTCATGGCTGTAGAATCTTTTAGGCAATGAAACGCATAAAAGTAAGACCTTGGAAAGCCTACATACTCCTGTAAATCCGTCCTGAGTGGCTTAGAAGTACCAATAAGCTTCTGAATATCAAATATAAAAGACTATATTTAACACAATACTGATACTATGAATAATACTATTTAAAAGTTTTAGTCCTTCTGGACTTCTACAAAGCCTATGACACAATACTTCTACAATATTAAATCAGAGGAGGTGGGGTTACATTATAATTTCAGTAGAGATTGAAAAGAAAATGACAGTGACTTGAGTAGAAAAGTAAACCATAAAATCAAGGGGAGACTGGAAGTATTTGCTTGTAAGTGATCTTTTCAGTATTCTTATTAAGTATACTGACACAAAAACAGGAATATGCTGATAAAATTTAATGATAACATGAAGTAGAGAAATGCCAATGCAAAGAATCAGAATATTACACAGAAAAAAAAAAAAAATCAGATGTTCTTAAGTAATGCCACTGGGATGAAAAATAAAGTACAAAATTCTAGGTTTTACTGCAAGGTGAGGAACTTAACCAGTTACAAAGATCCAAAGACCAAACTCTAGATTAAAGGAAACTAAGCAATACAAATGCAATCCTAGAATATATCAACAGAGATGTTTTTAATAAGACTTGGGAAGAATCAGTGGCACTACATAAGGCCATCTGCTATACTGTGTGCAAATTTTACCCACATTCTAGGAAATTAATTTGCAGTGAAGAGGTGCAGAAAAGCTACTAAGGCAATTAAGGAACAGAAGATTTTTCTTACACTAAATAACAAAAGAACTGATTTATTCTAACAGAATTTACCCTAACAAAACAAAGGCTGATTAAAAAACATAGTTGCCCTCATGGTACATTGGGCCTTATTACCCAGGAAGAAGCACTGTTTAACTAAAGGACAACATGACACGAGAAAGAAAAAGATGGACAGTGGACATTAATAAAATTAGATTTGGAACCAGATGAGTATTTCTAACAGAGTAGTGACAGTTATTGAAGTTACAATGCTTTCCAGTTGGAAGAGAAGAAATTTAATAATTCTGTGAACAAGACTGCACGATATAATTCCCTACAGGACCAGAGGTAGATAAAATAGTCACTCATGGTCCCTTTCTCTTTCCAGAAAGTTGGGGGCTTTTTTTTTTTTTTTTTCTTTCTCACACTAACCAAGCTGTTCAGTGTACTTTTGATCTGTTGGTCACAAGACCATATAATGAGATTGACTCTTTTCAGACTCTGTTCCTCTGTTCAGGAAAAAAAAACCAATGTGTTCTATAAAAGGATCATCAGGGGCTCCCTGGTCAGTGATTTGGGCAGAGAAGAGGTTTTTTTTCTAAGCTTTTATTTTAAATTTTTATCTTTATATTTTTCCTTAATTGTTTTCTGGCAAATTTTGGAAAAAAAATTAGGACATCTTGCCATACTTTTCCTGAATTACCCCAGTTTCCCAGAAGAACAAATTAAGTTCTAAATACAGTATCTAAACTCCTATCAGTCATTGTCAGGACAGAACATAGGATTTCATATGTCTGAAGAACTGTACCTTAGTCTCAGAGATGCTTGATACTATAGCAAGATGTTACCATATAAGCAAGTTACATTTAAAAAACACTCTATATATATTTCAGCTCAATAGGGAGGGTCATCCCAAGCCCTATATGCCATTTTTATCACCCTCTGAGTCTACTGGATAAAGCAATAAAGTGGAAAAGCACTTTCACCTATTTTCCTGATATTGCTGTTCAGCACTGCCCAGCACTGTAGTTCTACCTGCAAATCAGTGGTAAGATTTAGCCTAGAGTTTGAGTGACAAGAAATGTTCCTAAGAAAATCCTCAGATGTTTATAAGTTTTGTATTAGAAAGAAATGTGCTTTAATATCTGCCTTTTATCAATTAAAACATGGCATACTTATTGGAATTTAATGCAAGGATGTTACAGATGCATGAAGTACAAACTGGTTAAAGAAAAATTAGATTTATTTGTTGAGGATAAGGCTAGCTCCATTAATTAAACACAATGGTCCAACACATGGCACACGGAATTGCAAACTTGCTGACTACTCAAACTGGAAGGACACAGGAGGAAAAGGAATGGCCTGTACATAATTTTTGGCTTTTCAACCGTATTTCTGTCATAAATGCAAAATCACACTTCTGTTTTATGACAGCATAACAAACCCTCTTTTTAATTTCTGAACATTTCCTGCATGTTCTGCTCTGAACTCTTCCCCCTTTAGCTGAGTAGGTGCTCACCAGCTGGGATGAAGTCAGAGTCAGCTTTCAGTCAGAAGGCAATCATTCACTCATTCTAAAGGACAGAGTTCAATATCTAAAATGCACTATTCGAACAGAAATTTACTACTTTTTTTTTTTTTTTTTTTTCCCTACTCAGACTATCCAAGGGATTGTTTTGAGATTTTTCAGCGCTCCAAAGGAAATTCCAGAGATGGTCTTTACATCATCCAACCAAAGGAGGACCCAATTGTTGTCTCTTGTAACATGCAGGATGGTGGCTGGACAGTAATCCAGCACATTACAGCCAATAGTACTGTCGACTTTGATAGGACCTGGCAGGATTACAAATATGGATTTGGGTCTGTTCATGACAACCACTGGTTAGGAAATGAATATATACATCAGTTAACCAGCAGCTCCGTGCAATATATACTTGGAGTTAAACTTGTAAACCTAAATGCTGAAATCAAATGGGGACAGTATGAACCATTCCTTATTGAAGATGAAGAGTCTCAATACCGAATCAGGGTTGGTCTATACAAAGGCAACGCCACTGATGCTCTGACCCTGGACACGGAAGCTTATCTTCATGACAACCAGAAGTTCACCACCAAGGACAGAGACAATGACAATTATTTTCAGAATTGTGCTAAACTGGAACACAATGGTGTTCCCGGGGGAGGCTGGTGGTACGATGCGTGTGCTGGAGCAAATCTAAACCGTAGGAACGTGATATACTGGCAAAAGGACTGCAACAAGCAACGCATATGCAAGTTTGCATGGATGATGATCAAACCCATTGACCACAGACTGTCATATCCAGCCAAGTCCTGTCCATGTCAGAAAGTTGAACTGTAGGTAAGCCATGTATACTTTGAAAGGAACATGGATTCTTTGTCCAGTGACTGAAGTGAACTCACACTGACTGAATAATCACACCAAGTAATCATGATTGAAAATTTAATCTGGGCCTCTGGAAGGAATTTATGATAGCATATCTTCCAGGACTGGACCAGGACACAGATATTGACCAAACACACCAGTAAGAAGTCACTGTCAGAAACCGAGGCCTCTATCAGAACATTTAAATAATTAATTTTATAGTATTTTAGCCGTAAGAGGAGTCAGGTATGAAAGACAGGATATGACGTCTTCTACGAGATATACATGAATATACATGCATTTCAGAAGGTTTTGCTCCAGTATGAATGTTCACGGCTGACCTCCTGTAATTGCACATCTTCACATATCAAGCAGAAAGGAAATTTCCAGTGAAGTACCTACATTTACAAAATGCATACGGGAGAGTATTGTGTACCATAGGGCAGCATCAGGCCTTTTCTTTTTACCTTTAGTTAAAGGTATTTTAATATATAAAATTGGAATTAGCCTCATCTCTGATGGCTTCTTTTCCCCTTCATTGACCCTTCTTTTTACCTCTACTTTTTAATGATCCCACCAACAATGAAGTATTCAGCATAGGCTTTTCTTTTCTTCCTTCTTGTTAGAGTACCCAGAGCTAATGGGATCATCAGCTTTCCCATTTAAAGCTACTAATCCAAAGCTTACAAATCCTCTGAATTTTTCCTCAAGAAACTCAGTGAACACATTTTTTAAAAGATCAAATTGATTTTGCAATTGTTTACTTATTGCTCCATTTTTTTTCCTGAATATTATTCCACTTTGTTTACCATGTTTTGACTGTTGCTTCTCCCTGTTTCATGATGTGCTTCAGCCTTCTCTTTTTTAAATACCACTGTGAGAAAAGAAGTGTTGGCTTTATTTCACATTTGCTAGCTTCAATTGGTTTGGCACTCAACATTGAAATTATTTAAACAGTGCCTTTTTTCTGACTATAAAATAAAGAATCTTTAAATTTCATTATAAAATCATCTGTTTTAAAATAATAAATAAAAGGATTTCAGTTTTGATAACCTTGAGGACCTTGCTTTTTTTTACAGCTGTTTGGGTTACTTCACATATTTCTATATCATTGGAATAGCTGAATGACAACTGAAGAGTTTTCATTGTTGCATTATACAAAATGTCAGGATAATCATTAGAATACCTTGTATGTTTTCTTAGATACTTCAATTACAGAAACTTAACCAACAGATACTGGCAAACTCCTGCTTTTTAATTTAAAAATGGAATCTCATGATTTCCATGAAAATTACTTTGCAAAAAATAAATTGTATTGTGTTTTGAGAAGACCAAGACTGCTAGGATTACTTAAGAAGAGAAATTAATTGGGAAGTGGAAAAGCCAAGAAAGCAATTTTTGTTTTGTACAATGCACTGCAACATTTTCAGAAAGAGATACAGATATATTATGTGGGTGAGGTCAAAATAGCACACATGTCTATTTTGCACTATTTTTTTTCCCCTGAAATTGTATTCAAAGACGGAACTGTGACAGGGGAAGAAATGGATAGTAGCTGAATTGAGTTTATGTTATTGAGTCAATTTAATGTGAGTTCTGCTGTAACTCTATCGGGATGCCTCCGAAGTTGTAATGAGGATACAAGAAAATCACCCAAGTGCTGCCAGTCTCCCATAGCTTTTATTCGAATTCGTGGCCATATAGCCAGATTCTCACACACCTTCCAAAAATGTGTTTTGAATAATCTTGACATGGGAGTGCACAACTGAAAGCCAGCAGGGTGCATCTGATCCTCAAAGGCAAGTAACCTGCTCTCCAGGCCACCCTTGGCCTGTTTTGGAGGGTTTTGGAGGAAGAGGCCTGTGTAAATAAGCTGTATGAATGACTCGGGCACCAGCAGCCCAAATCCAGCTGCCCAGTTTCGGAGGCACTCTCTAGTATTAACTGGAGCCCTATAAGCCTATGCTGACACTGAATTGCAGTATGGGAATTAGATTAAAATGTAATAATAACTCATAACAACAAGTCCCCAAGAAAAAACAAGACAGAAAGATTAATCCAGTTCAAAGAAAGACATTTAATGGAACTCAGAGACTGAGGTACATTCCACCCTTCTAAACAAAGTATGGATGGAAATGACTACTGGAGCTGAATTTGGGACTAAGTAGTGGATGAAAATAAGTAAGACTATTCCAATACACCACCAGCACTTCTTTCTAGAGCTCTTAAAGAGAAGGACATAGACCCTTAAAAAGTGGGCTAAATTCTACTTCATAATTCCTTAGCGAAAGGCTGTCTTAACTGAATGGATTTTTTTTCTCCATCACTGAACCTTAATCACCAGATACCCAGAACAATGCTGAGAGCAGCTGGCTGTCAACACTGAATCAGTAAAATCACAGTCTGAAACATGGGGGTTTCTGTTCTGTCTACTCCTTTTTTTCTTTTTCCTATCACATTTCTCCTATTCTCTCTCTCTCTCTTTCCTGATTATACTGCCTCCTGCACAGACTTGAAGAAAGGAGGTGGGTCCTCCCAAGAATATCTGATGGAAAAAATGTATTTGATCAAATAAATATCTTTCCAAAATAAGGAAGCATGACAAGGTCTAGAGCAATAGGTATATGGCTGACTTCCAGCTCCAAGCACACCTGAATGGGAGGCATGTTCCACTTTAAACATGCAATCTCCTAACAATAGCAGAAAAATAGGTTTCTTCACCTCTTTGCTACTTTGTATTTCTCGCCATAGTGTTTTCTCAACTGCAGGGAAGGTAAGCACATTCTTACATACAATATCACATTAATCGACTCAGAATTTAGCAGAAGGAAAAATTCTTCCTAAAAAAGTATCGACGGACAAAATAAGAGAGCCTGATGACCTCTTTCTAGCAAAACCACTGATTTATTATTATTATTATTTGTCTTTAAAAGTCATTCAACTTTCATATGAGAAAGTGCTTGCTTTTGTTTCTGATTTTCATAAGTGTAACCTAAACAATAAATTTCCAGACTCTTGCATAACCTTTTTTTACGTGTTAACCATAGGTTTAAAAGTATGACAAAGTGGTTTTAGGACCAAGCATTGAATACTGTGTGTCAATAAATTAGGAACATGACCTGCCTGGGCTCATTTTTTCTCATATACTTAAGAAAACAAAGAGTCCTTTAGTCACGCTCACATCTTCTGCATTTCAGAAGGCATCAGGACCCAGGCAGAGTGGTGGGGTACAGAGCTGAATCCAGCCACACTCCGCAGCTGGTATCCTCCACTGTACCCTCTCTCCACTCTTCCTCCTATAGCTACCTGATGAATTGCACATCTAAGGAAGCCTTATGTATGGCCTACAGTAAAAACAACTCTCTGACCTCCACTATGTCTAGATGGCTGCCTCATGTAAGGAGTAAAAGATATTCCAGCTTATATCTTGGCATTGTAATCCAGGAATTCAGTAAAAATCTCCAAACTTCAGAGGCCTACTGAAACAGGAGCAAACAGCAACCAGGGTTTAGAGAAGTACTTGTTGAGAAGAAAACTTTTGAAGGATTGTAAATGTCTAGTTGTTTGGGGAAGACCGACTTCTTTGATATATAAGCAGATACATGAAGAAACTAATGGTATTTGGTAGCTAATGGCGTAGGTATTGAGTAAAAGGCAGTGGTTTTACCGCGTGTAATGAAAACTGAAGTTTCTAATCTGATACATAGCCCAGCAGTGCCTATTAAACCTGAAGAAATACATTTACCAAGATGGAAAAAACAATTGCAACACCATCCCTTTCTGAAATCACAAATACTCATAGATTATCTCTAGTTTTACAACACAATTATACCAATTTTTCTTTTTTTTTTTAAACTAGATATAGATAGGCAGTAACTATTAATAAAATCATAAACAAGAAGTTTATTTGAATGATCAAAGATTAAGATTTTATGACACCCAGCTGTCAATTGTATGTGGAAGAAAACTTCTTAGTGGGTACAAAAGGCAGCAATGGAGATTTGGGATGACCACATAAGAAATAAATGGCCTCTTTCTGATTTGGTAGAAGGAAAGCCAAGTATTTAAGTGAAAAGACACAGTATCTGTTTTTGGAGTTTCGGTTTGGAAGGGCATTTCAAAATGGAGAAGCCACTGACTACCCAGCGGCTGCAGGAGCATTTCAGGAGCTGATGGAACCTTTGGAGTCCCCAAGGCAAACAGTGCAGGGGAGCCTTTCAGAGGGAAGTTCTGACGTGTAATGGCCTGTACCTCATAAAGGTAGTGAATGTGGGGTGGGTTGGTTTTGGTTGTTTTTTTTTTTTAAAACCCTTCTGTAATATCAAAAAGGAGTAAGCAATATGGACTTTTTTGGGCAGAGTCCTTTCCAACAGCGGGGCAGCTAGATGCACAGGTCACAGCAAATGGTAACTCCAGCTTGATTGTTATGTACAACTGAGGAAACAAGTATTTGTTTCTCACTGCACCCAAGTGATTCCTTCATATTATTTCTATCTCTATAGAAAGCAAAGAAAACTAATCTCAGAGGAAAGTTACACTATTCTGTTTTTTGTTTGTTTTCCTAGAGCAAGGAATCCAGAGAAGGCAGAAGTACATATGTACCCTAAAAATTACAGAGTAACATTAAAAAAGAAGCATCCAAAAATTCTCCTTCAGTATGAAGACTTTGGGAATACCAAACTATGAAGGGGTGATGTGGAAACTGTGTTTCCTACCACATGTAAAGAAGCATCTTTAAAAATTCTATTCAAAATCCAGAATCTGAAAAAATTCCACAGGTATTCAATCCAGTTTCAAACTGAGTATCCAGTTTCATAACAACTATGTTCTATGAGAAAGCAGCATCTTTCAGATTGATATGAGATTCTTTAATTGTTGTAATGACTTCTCATTTAAATTGAACATACTTACCACATCCCAGTGACATTTTTATTACTTCAGGTATGTGACTATCCTTAGCTACATTTGCATTAAGATTTATCAGTTAAATTCGTTTGACATGTTCAGGTCATCTATCAAATATGACAAGGAGGCAATGTCACAGATTTCTGAGAAAAGCCCTATGTGGGAGATAAAATTATCAGAATAATTAAACTAGAGATGGGGATTTTTCATGAGACTCAGCTCTAAAACTGGAACAATATCTAAAGGGTGATAAGGAAGTACTATTAAGGATTTTGCCCTGAAGTGCATCACTGTCTCTGGATCCAGACTCAAGTCCATATATCCCAGTGCAGGTCTCATTATGGGTACAACAGAGATGAGGAACAAAAATCCACAAATGAAAGTAACTTTCAACAGATAATAGCAGTTACTAATTGACATGCATAATTGAGTAGGATAAGCATGATTAGCAATTAAATTATATAATTAATGGCAAAATATGCTCTATCATATTTTACAGATTCTTCCAGTATTTTCTCTGTAACGCTTTTGATTTCATCCTTCCTCAATTCAACAGGATTTTTCTGCAAAGGAAACCCCTGCATTTATGCTGTATCTTGACTTTCCATCCTTTGCAAAGCTCTTCACTCTGAGCTAAGTGGTCACAGAAAGTGCACAACTGTAACTAGGTGTTCTATACCTGTTTAAAAATTCTGGGAACTCTTCCAAGTATTTACCTACAAACACAAAATGTATTTACAGAAAATGAATGTTACTTGATAATTTATGGGGATCTGGAATATATATGGAGGCTGGTATGTATAAAAAGGGAGAGATAAAATTGATCCCCGCAGTTTGTGGGAAAATTCAATATTCAAAAATATTAAAGTGTGCTCAGTCTCCAAAAAGCTTAGTTAGGGATGTATATTTATGCATCTATATTGATAATGCATACATATCCATATATATGTATGTGTATGTAATTATGTATAAATAAAATGTAATTTTACAAAAAAAGATCTTTTCACCAGTCCATGACCATAATCGATTATAAGATCAGTAAAAGGTTCATTAAAAGGACAGAAATGCAGGTAACAAGATTGTTCTACACTGTAGAAGTCCCACAACACTTTTTAAAGGTACAAAATATAATTTGAAAACAAAATATAATCAAGTACTAACTGATACTCTGGTGAGGACAACATTTTTCTTTTTGTGGTTTTGATTTTTTTTAAGAATAAACATCCTACATGACAATAAAGCAACGCACACCTCTTTATATAATTCTAGGTATTTACAACATACCCATGTCTGGCCATGTAACATCTCACATAGTGAAGTGCTAGCAGCATAGTTTGAGCACATATTTCACAATTACATTGAACCAACACTGTTGCATCCATCACCATGTATTCTAATACATTTACTGAGCACAGAGTCCATAAACATTTACAGAACACTCTTGTTCAACAGAAGTCAAAACCAACAAAAAATACCCCATTTAATTTCAGTAGAAGCCGATGCTTTACTTCAGCAACAACACTGCAGCTAGCAGGAACTGTTATAAATTTTGCCTTTAACTACAGCTTGTGCCACAGAGGGACACATTCATTTGCTAAAAATCAAACACAGTTTACTGAATGTCTGATCCAAATAAACCCACTATAATAACCAACTTGTACGTAGTTACTGTACACAGGAAAAGCTCTGGATAGTGTTAGAGGAAAGTTGATGAAAGGGTCTGTATAAAGACCCATACTTTCCTTTAATAAGCAATCATATGCTAATGCATAAAAAATAATAGGTGCAGTATGGTGTGTTACAAAATCAATCATGTGAATTTAGAGAACATATTTTTACAATACTACAATGCTAATCTTCCACTGACACAACTTTCCCCTCTGGAGACTGGGGATAAAAAATATTAATTACTTGTACTGTGGTTGTTGACATGGAGGAATT